GAGAGAGAGAGAGAGAGAGAGAGGGTTAATAACTGACATGTCCATGCTTGCCAAGTGAACACATCCTACGTTCTGTAGCATGGCTGTCTGTACGAATCTATCTTTCAGAAAGCCAACTGACGTCTATCCAAGTTCAAGCCGGAGTCTAATCGCAGCAAAGAGCTCAGCATTGCTGTCCTTTGCTTGTCTGATGTAAGGAGAAGGGAGGTGCCTAATTCACAGCAGGAGCATCAGTGCACGGACTGGTAAAGTTGGGGCCTCACATTTATAACTGCGATCATCATGGAAACTGCCGCTTAGGAGCTTCAAGAACCTCGTATCCTCCAATGACCAATACCTTCTTGATTAACTTCTAGTCTTCACTAGTCTTCACAAAAGCGAGGCTGAAAAAGTCTTCGCTGTTTGCGGGTGGTCCATATTGTAATCTGGGGGGCATTCAGTGCCATTCAGTGACCGCAGCCGGAGCAATCAATGATCCGCTTGTAGTCTAGGCGATGGGACTTCTCCGGACTTTTCCCATTAGTATCAGTCAGTGGTTACTTCACCATGCAAGCTTACTTGAGTCCTGTTTTCCGGGAACATGTTCGTGTGATTCGCTAATCCCTGGCCTGGTCAGATTTCCCTGGGGTTGAGACTCGTTCCAGTGTTTGCCAGCTGGGAGAGAAGCTGCAGTGTGTGGACGCAATGGAGGTTGCGTTTGCGCAAGTTTGGTGTGCTCGCCATGTGAAGAGGACGTCGGTCTGGCTGCATCATCAAGAGAGTGATGAAGGAAGGTCGGTGCGTCACGATCATTGTGAGGAGGGAGAGGCGTTGAGCTTCGAGAATGAGTGGGAGGTTGGTGGTCAAGCAGTTGGTATGGCTCAGGACTTCTTCTATGGACAGAGGTTCCAACCTTTGGAACATGATCAAATCCAGGAAACCTCTGGCTCCCAACTTTTATGAAGGACTTTGAGATATACCCTGTTGTTACACCTCCAGCAGACGTCTTCACTCTGGACAGGGGCATTTCAGGCATCAGTGTGTTTCCGCGCATAAGAGTTTCGCTTCGACTTCGAGCTGCAACATCGCAGAACATTACGCAAGCATAGTTAGATAGCACAAAAATACATGTATGATATATGCACACACACACACACACACACACACAGAGAGAGAGAGAGAGAGAGAGAGAGAGAGAGAGAGAGAGAGAGAGAGAGAGAGAGAGAGAGA